GGCCTATGGATACCCTATAAACGGAAAAGTCGTACCGAACCTTCTTTTATGTTTATGTAAATCAAGGAATAGATATTTAAAGGACTTGAAAATCTGATGGTGGTCATAGTCGGGCGCGTTGGTGAAATGATATTTCTTGTGCCAAACCTGTTTTTAAAAATATGGAATGAATGTATTGCCTGTATCTTGATTAAACATTTACTCATGATAAAAATAACATTAATTTTCATTGATATTTGAAATTGAAAAGTAAGTGTTATAGGTGGCTTTCAATACCTGTTTATTGCATGAATTAAAAATGTGATATGAACTTTCGAATTATCACTTATTTAAAAACAAATATATAAACATCTCTAAGCGGCACGGCTTTGATATAAACAAAAGCTCCTATGTTTTACAGTAACCTTTGAGGAATACCTGTAAAAATACACGTGACTAAGTTTTTTAAATAATTTTTCCCACGTTTTGAAAAGATATATATTATATGCTATAGGAAAAATTGTTATAAAAATATTTTAATTAGCCAACTTTGCAAATTTCATACTTTCACACAAGTTTTATAAATGTAATAGATTTTTTTTACAATATATACAAGTTTGCACACGTCAAGGCTTTTAGTTAACAAAGGCTTTGAAATGAAACCGTAAAAATAGCCAATATACTGACCATACCATTCTTAAGTTTTTTTATTTGTATATTCGTTAGGTATAAATTTGAAGCAAATTTATTTCATATATATTAATTTGAAATGAAAATGTTTGCTAAATTTGATAATTTATTTTTTCACATTTTACCGGGGCCCATAAGTGCACTCGTTCTTTGTATGCAATCGTTACATACCTGAGGTTTGATTGAACATTTTTTAAAACACGTGAAATCATCAAGAAAATGCTGAAGTATTGTATTTGTATAAAGATATTCTTATTTGTTTTATTTTGATAGTATGATATACGAAAAACGTATTGACATAGAAATAGCGTTATTTAAAAGCTTAATTTCATTTTCAATAGCTGAACAATTCTTAGGTGGCTAATGTGTATTTTAAATGTTTTTATTTCATTTCAACTTTCAGTAATTTTCAGCTACTGATAAAAAATCGTGCAATTTTGAAGAGTGCAGTGAATTTTAGTTTGGTAAATTAATTTTATTATATGATTTTGTATTATATCATATTTTCAGACATACCATATACTACAAAATTGATTTCACTAACAGTATACTACAATAATAATTAAACAAACATTAGCTATTTGTAAAATACAGGAATTGCTTCTGTTTTTGTATATTTAGTTCTGAATGCGATGTTAGCATATGAATTTACCGCATTGTTACTACATTGTATTGGTTGATTGTATGCAGAGTTGTCTCAAATACGTCTTATTCATGGATTTTCCCTTCATAAAGAGATGTCACCATTTACAGTAAAGAGTTTTATTCAGACCTATACAAGACCGTCAGAACCTTGGAGCGGTGAAGATACACTATCATGCCAATGCCTTCCGTGAACTCGATTTTTAAGGTCTCTTCTAAAGGGCTTGTGTCATAATTTTTTCGAGTATATATCTTGAATTGAAGCCCGTCGCTGGTATATGGTAATGTATCTATTTATATTATCATCTTGATTTACTTTGAAATATACGAAAAAATTGAAAATGAAAATTTCAGTAAGATACTACTGTTCAAAAAAGAAGGTACATTCTATAAAAATTATAATCGTAGGTTTTAATTTTTGCTTTTTTTATATTTTTTCAACTCTATATGAAGTGTCATACGTAATACGTAACTACTTAACAAATCGTCAACCACGATATCTAATCCCCATCATCACAAAGTTTTTCCTCAGTCCGTGAAAATTTTACCTCTCAAAAAATGAGATTTTACGGTATGGTGTTTTCAATCATTTGAAGAAAACACTGTTAAAATGAAAATTCAAATCACGAATAAGGTTAAAATTTGCAGCCACTGTGTCGACACATGTATGCCTAGGGATACTTATATCATCTCATTCCTCATCACTGTCTTCCTTTATGGTTACTGGGTTCCCACATTTCAGCAATAATCTACTTAAAGATTTCTAAAAATAACAGGTGGTTAAAATAGAAAAAACATCTCTGAAGAATATTTAAAATTCGGTCGTCAGATCGAATTGCAGTTTCTCCAAAAGCATCAAAAAGCCATTCGTACTAATTGAAGAAATGTCAATTACCGATTCCCCTTTTCAAAGTCGTATCCCAGTTTTAGTAAACGAAAGACGAAAACAAAAGATTGAAATCTGTAGAAACTTGCCAGAGGTAATATTGCCTGGCTAAGGGTTGGCCAGGATGGTCCAATGAGTTCTTCATAAGCACTATCAAAGTGCGGGAAAAGCGAGAAAAATTCATTGAATCCCCAGGCAAAAAAGTTTACGATCATTATACATAAGAGTATGTATTTGAATTTTTGAATATCCTGCAGACAAATTCTCTTGATAGATACGATGAAGATAGTCTGGTAATATACCTGTACCAGCAGTAAGGAAAAGCGAATTAAGCTTACTATAGATTAAGAGATCGTCAACGAATACAAAAGTCCAAGTCCGTTGTAAATTACGGGTCCACTTGTCGATACAATGAAAATGGTGTCATTATTCAATAGATAACCTGTGTTCATTGAATCAGTTGAATGGGTTGGTTTTATTTTCTTCAAAAGGTGAACACCCATCAATAAAATAAATATCACAAAAGTTGTCGGCATAGTAATGCACCATTGCCAAGCAGTGAACAAATCACCATGTGCAAGGCCGGATTGTCTCAATAACAAAACAACTATTCCAGGCACAAAAGTGGCAATGAATGCGACTGAAATAAATATGCTTTGACTGTGAAATCGACACCATCTAGCACAATTTTGTACCTTGCTTGTAACCGATCGCTAATTAACGGTTTCATTGTCATAAAATCTGTTATGAAAATTTCTTCTTTTCTCCAAGATGAAAACACGTGGAAACATGCTAGTGATAAAACAAATGGACAGAAAACAATATTCTTGCTGCATAGGAACCATTATTGCACCTATCGGTTTTAGCGAAAGGATCTGACTTCTTGTTTTCCAGTAGCACTTCCTTGTGCTAATGTTTCGACTTGTTTGGTCCTCGTGTTTCTTGTAAGTAACCATTCCGTACATCAGTCTAAATAAATTGAATAAATACAGTGCAATATTGGTCAATAGAATCACAGAAAGAAAATAATGTATCAGAAGACTTCGTTTTAGCTGAAATCTAGACAACCGACTGATAACTGCCAACTGGATGAAGAAAAATACTATTTCAAGAAAACGCCCAGCAGCACTAATCAAGTAAAAATAATTATTTCTAAGTTTATAGGCCGGTAACTTTATTTCATTTTTTTGAAAACACTGAATGTCAACGATGATATCCAAGAAATGCAGAAATATGATGCCTATGCCAAAAGACCAGTAAAATATTTGTACCATCTTCGAAACAGGGTCATTTCGTGGATCTGAAAGATATTTATCTGTTCGATACTTGACGAGAACACACAGAATAAGCCACAGAACTGATGACGTCAACACTAGAAAATCTAAAATCAAAAACGGCACAGGGTAATAACGTGAAGTATTATACTCAGTAGGATGAAGGTATTTTCCGAAAAATGTAAATAAAATTCCAGTGATACTTGTGGCAAAAAGAATAGAAAAGACTTGTCCATCTCTCTCGGAAGATTTTAGATCAACAGTATTTCCAACAGTGAGTATTTCTTTCAGCGTTTTCAAAAGCATCATTATAGAGTCAGGTTTGCAATATCAGATGCTTTATGCAACAAATAATATAAAAGTGTTGTGTTTTATAAGTTATTTTCTATATATAATAGAACTTAAATAAAGAGAAGTTATTAAACTTGAGATTACTTGTATATATTTCCAGGAAATGTATTTATGATAAAAAAGAGGATGAATTTGTAAAACAAGGAAAAAAAAATATTAACATGTCTGTTTATTAAATATAAATGAATAATTTAAGTATAGTTAAAAGTGGTTAAGTTAAATCCCTATCAAATCACTAGGAAGAAAATAAATGTAATGAGAAGTCTCTTAGTCTTCTTTAAGGATTTTAAAACAAGTTCCTGGTTTATCTAATCATTTAAAACTTAGAATCATTAGTATTAAATCATAATTATAACCTAGAACAATTAAGAATATCGAAATGTTATTTCCACAACAATAAACTGTAAGACTTAAAGAGATAATAAGGAAACAATAGGAAATAAGCGAAAAATAGACAAATTATTCTTTTTTAAAAAAAACATCATATTTATTAATTTATGCGTTTGTGCACAGGGTACGAAGAATTTGGGAGATTTATGCAGATCCTGATTGTTTTTCTTTTTTCTCTCCGTTTTTGGGACAGAAAATATAATTAAGGCCAGTGGTCCTTAACAATGACATGTGTTAACAACAGTTTATTTCCTGCTCATGGAGAAGGTTTTTGGTTGTAATATCTATTTTTATTGTAAACTACATTTAGCCCGGTCTTGACACCGGCACCAATTTTAAAAAAGGAATATGAAATCCGAAAGAGGAATATATCAATGCTATATTTTAAAAGTACCGATACAAAAACAAAATATCAATTGATCAAAGATATATATACACTAGAAACAAAATTAAAAATTAATGAAATAATCTAAAAAAGAAAAAATTAGAATAAATATAAATCTGAATTATCAAAAATCTATACAATAAACTGAAACATATAAGGCCATCTTTACAATAACATTGGCTTGCTACCTTTTATTTCTCTTCTCCCTACGGGATACGAGGAATAAAAATGTGTCCTGGAAATAAGAAAAAAGTTTTGACTGGAGCCATTTTAGTCAAACGGTGGGTAGAGGACAACAAAACAATTTTGATCCCATGGTAAATATCCTTGTAAATGTAAAAAGTTTTAGTAGATTGACCTGATTGTTTTACATACCAATAAAAAAAATTTTGATGTCACCTTGAAGCACACAATAATAACGAAACGGTAGATACATCCTTTGTTTTTTCTGGTACCTATATTTTGTAGTTTTATTATCGTTTTACAGTGGAGTGAGTTTAGTTTATCACATCTTGGCTATACACAATTTTTTATAAACACCAAATGATATAGATATTTTGAAAAGACACATAGAGTTTTGATTCATTATGAAAGTGAACGTTAAGTTTTTGTAGCAAAACAATTAGTCTGATTTGTAAATTCTATACAGAGAAATGAAAGATTGAAACCTATAAAAGCATATAAATGTATATAACACCTGCCTTGCAGCTGGGTGCAAGGTACCCCAAACTTCATCTGTGTTACTATATGATACGTAGAAAATCCAGAACTGAAAATATACCCACATTACCATGTTGGAAATCAGCAACATGATAATGACAAATGGAAGTCTTAGATAACATTGACTCTTGAATCTCTTCAAGTAAAGAATGAAAATTGTTTGGTAGTATACCTCTACCAGTCCCAAAACATATTTGAGGACAACTGTCCATATTTCAATTCCATAGTATGCAAAAGCCACCGCCAAAGCGTAATAAATAAAATTTCCCGACGCACAAACTATGTAAATAGCATCGTTATCCAAAAAATTATCAAGCAGAATGTCACAGCTTAGAAGTGTCTTTTTCAGTCTTTGTACAATGTGAAATCCTCGAAAAATACACGCAATTATAATCACATTCGGAAAAATGACTGTCAATTGCCAATCATTTGTTAACATTTCTGAATTGGAAATTCTTCGCAAAATTGTAACTACAATTGCAGGTAGAAAACAGAAAATACTAACTATCATGTATAAGATTTCTCTTTTGGTAATTCCTTTGTATTGTTTTCTGCCTTCATGGACAATAGAACTGGATGAAACAAGAATTGCATGTATGTTTTTCGTTGATCTTAATTTGTACGTCCAATGGCTGTGGAGTGTTATGGTAAGAATTACACATATGGAAAGGAAGTTGTATTCTTGTTCCAATGGGACTAGAATGGGATGCAAAGGAATTATCGCCTTTGTTGCAATATCTGTTTTCCAATAACAGAAAGTAAAAGTACTGGAGTTTTGGGAAAATGATATTTTGCGATTTAAAAGTGATATATTATACACCCATGCTCCTGTATTTGTCAATAAAATAAATATAAGAAACCAATGAACAGTTCTGTTGAAGGTGAGGTGAAATCTGGAAATTCTAGATAAAACAATCGTTTGGATAAGTACAAAGAGTGGTTGTCCAATTCGACATACACCATTAACAATGTAGGTTTGTCGAACAGATGTTCCGGAATTTTGCAAAGCACACTGTATGTTAGCAATTGCACTGAGAATTGAAGAAAATGTTGCTCCAAGACCAAATATCCATAGTAACACTAGCACTAAGCTAATGACAAAACGAGAGCTGGAAGTGGAGGCTATAGAAATGTTAGATCTTAAATGTGTTCTGACTAGAATCCATGAAATTATCCAGAAAATTGAAGCAATTAATTTCGTGGCGGATCTAAAAACAGGTATTAATATATGTCCAACAGATTCATAGAGCCATGTGTTCTCATACAAGTCGACAAATACAACAACAGCAGCTATGAAACTTGTGGTTGCAATTACAGATAACATATTTGTAACAATATGTTATCTTCTATTACATTTCTTAATGCAAAATATTTCGTCCATGATTTCTATTTCCTCTTTACTCGTGATTTTTGTCAAGTCGTCCTCTTCCTACGATGCAATATCTTTCAAAATAAATCAAGTTTATTAAGTATAGTATAAAGGTAGATTAATTTGCATGTAAAAAAAAGAACAACAACACAAATAACAAAACTTTAAAATTTTCAAAAGTTATATATATAGAAGCAAATTTCGTTTTTTAAGAATTATTAAAAATATGATAGTAAAAATACATACTTCCTCGATAATCTGTAAGTCACAGTATGACAGCAATAAAGATTCACGTGTAAGCAATAGATACATACTTGAGGTTTGATCGAGCAATTCTTTTAAACACAGGAAATCATTCAGTATGTATTGTATTTGTATAAACATTTTTTTTTACTCATTTTGATTTTGACAGTATGATCATACTTATGTTATTCAAGTACCACTTATTACAGAACACTTTATATCACTCTAGTACATCTGCTTCAAAATCTGATTTTCAGTAAGTAGATTTTTTAATCATATGTTTATAACTCACAGTTGATTCGATATGATCCACGAATATTTTCCGTTATTTTCCGATTATGAAAAAGAGAACACGGTGGGTGTGACCGGTCAGCAGGGGATGCTCAGTCCTATATGGTAACAGATCCTAACTCAATATTTCAAAGGACCATGCTCAATGCTATCCTGTACTTTTTAATGGACTTTTAAGCTCGAATACTGTTCGTTATCTACACAGAATGCATGAAAATATTTTGTTCTATAAAACAAAATTGTAGTTGTTATCTCAAAACATATTGCTATCATGTCGCCCAACCCCAAGAGTCCAAGTTCAACAAAAGTCCATTTAACAATACAAAATGGGAGCAGAACAAACAAGGAGCTCAGTTGTGGGATTATGTACCATGGAGCAGTGAGCATCCCCTGCTGACCGGTCACACCCATAGTGTGTTTTTTTTCATGATCGAAAAATAACGGAAAAATCCGTCGACAATTCATTTTGTATATAATTGCCTAACAATTAGTGTGACAAAGTCACCCAGGCATTGCATTTTCTAACAATGATCATTGCATCGACCATCGACCAAATCTACCTCACTAACCAGAACTAAGATTTGAACATTGTGGTTTTTCAGAGATCCTTTCAAAACAACGTATAAGCAACAGTATGAAGGAATTTTCAGAAAACTTACCTAAAGTTATATACATGTACAAACTGCTAAGAACCATATGCCGCGAAAGTCTATTTCACAAAGTTTTTGCTATTTACATACAAAAGTACAGCAAAAATGTTCTTTTTAGAATGAATTTTAATTTGACAATAGCTGTAAAAATCTACTAAGGTTAATTTCTCTTAAGTGTTACATTTTATTAGTATATGATTGCTGAAATTCTGGTATAAGAAAGCCTATGTTCGGTTTTCATATATCAAAGACCTATATAATTTATGTAGATTTAGTGAAATTGATTGAGAAAAAGTTAATTGTTTAGGAATTGAAATTTAAAGTATTTACCCAGTAATTATAATCATTAATGTTTATGATATCACTGATATCTATGGCACGCCAAATTCACAAAAATGAGCTAAACCTAGTTTCACAATTGATAAACTAGGTTAATCGACTGTAAATTATAGATTATAAACTGTAAACTATAGTTAACGATTCGTTAAGTATAGTTTTCATCTGTAAAACTATATTTAATGGTTGTTAACTATAGTTTACGAATGCTAATCTAAGTTTATCTGTCTGTAATAAGCGTTAACAATAGATTTTGTTGATAAACCTAGATTCACGTTTGTTAACTATATACAATCGTAAACTATAGTTAAGAGTTGTTAATCATAGTTTCACAGATCGTTAACTATAGTTAACGGTTTGTAGTTTACAAATCGTGAAAGTGTATTTATCAGATAATCTATATTTTTCAATCGCAAATGATAGTTTTCGGTGTTAAGTATAGTTTACGGTTGTGAAACATAGATTATCACGTTACCTATAGTTTACAGATGTAATTAATTAACGTTGTTAATCATAGTTTACAGTCCGTAAGCTATAGTTTACAACCGATAAGTGTATTTATGTATATAAAGGAATTTATGTGATCTAAATACGTAATAAATTGCATATTTTTATTAATTACCAATTTGTTTGAATTCATGGGTCCCGAAGGGTTTTCCGGGTTTTATACTTAAGCGTCCTCTAGTAACGGCTATTAGCCTTATCCTTATCAGAATAACATTTCGGCTCCAAAATGTGGTTTACAAATTTTACTTAGGTGTGAGTATTTATATTGTGTCACTCATGCAGAGTAGGGTTTTGATTCAAAGATATTGATTTATTGTTCGTTTGCAGATTTGTGTAGAACAGTGAAATATCAATTTCTATCTGAATATCTCAGCGAGAAGGTTCTGTATAGAGGATATTCGGGTTGCATTACATTGATATGGTAGCGTAGGCTCGCAGAAGTTGATAAAATTAAACCCGATTTAGTATGTATATACAATAAGGTTCTAATGATTTGTGTAGTCTAGATATTAAGTTATACGACTGGGTTGAGAATGTTTTACTCGCTGAGAAAAATTCGGGGTCATTTGGTGCACAGTGTAATGTCAACATACCAAATTCTTCATAGTAAACCACCAAGTAAACCTGACAGGTTCTTAATAGAACATGAATCCTGCAATGTTAAGGTGTTGTTGGTATTAACAGGCTTTTTAACGCTAAATCAGGCAGAGAATTTGGTTATCATGGTTAGGATGTAAGATTTTTTTTTTTTCTTTCATTACTAAAGACTTTGGTCATCAGAAAATGAGAATAAAGTAAACTGTTAAAATGGCGTGCACCAAAAATGAGCACATGGTTACACAAACTATTATAGTAACAGGATGTCGGTTGTTTCAGCACTTTAAAGCTTGTAAGCAGATTGTATAACTTCAATACTTATATTTATAACAATTTAGTGTAATATGGTCAAGTTTGGGTAGGTTACAAGTGCATATAATGTTTTTGGTTTCATTAAAGAACTAAGGCCTGTGGATTGTCAGTATACGATAAGAATTTAGCACTGCAAATGCATGTAGCTAGAGTAAATTGCCTTTGTTGTTCATCATGTAGCTATTACAGTCAGTCGCTTATTTTGATTTCATTATTTGCCATTGGGTTGGTTGCATAATTACACAGATAAAGCATATTAAGGTATTCATATTGTATATTTATGCTTTGCTTGGTTTTTTTTTTGGAACTTGGAAATGCCAATAGTGATTTATTAGCCACATCACGCTCATAATAATAATAATAATAATAAAAAAAAAAGGTTGGTTAATTAATTCTGGAAATCCTCTATGGTTTTATATGCTTGTATACAGTGTATATATATCCTGTATGGTTTGGTTACCAAGGTAGTCCATATATAGTTGAACAATTTTTGCTATATATATCCTATATGGTTGGATATGCTTGTGCACAGTATGTATATGTATAAATATTTCTGTATGGTTTTGTAACCAATTTGTCCTATATGGTTGGACAATTAATTTTAGCTATCCTATATGGTTGGATATGCTTGTATACAGTGTATATATATTGAATGGCTTGGTTACCATATTGTCCTATATGGTTGGAGGCAGTATATTTATATCCTGTATGGTTGTAATTAATTTGACATATCCTGTATTGTTGGATATGCATGTATACAGTATATATATATCCTGTATGGTTTGGTAACCAAGATGTCCTATATGGTTGGACACATTATTTTTAGCTATCCTATATGGTTGGATATGCTTGTACAGCAATATATATCCTGTATGGTTTGGTAACCAACTTGTCCTATATGGTTGGACAATTAATTTTGACATATCCTATATGGTTGGATATGCTTGTATACAGTGTATATATATTAAATGGTTTGGTTACCATATTGTCCTATATGGTTGGACGCAGTATATTTATATCCTGTATGGTTGTAATTAATTTGACATATCCTGTATGGTTGGATATGCGTGTATACAGTATATATATATCCTGTATGGTTTGGTAACCAAGATGTCCTATATGGTTGGACAATTATTTTTAGCTATCCTATATGGTTGGATATGCTTGTACTTCAATATATATCCTGTATGGTTTGGTTACCAATTTGTCCTGTATGGTTGGACAATTATTTGCCATATCCTATATGGTTGGACATGCTTGTATATGGTAAATATATATACATATACATATCTGGTACAGTTTGGTAACCTGTTTGTCCTGTATAGTTGGACAGTTAATTTGAGATATCCTATATGGTTGAATATGCTCATATAAGGGTATTTATATGTTAATCGTGTGATTGGGTAACCAAGTTTTGTTTTACATGGTTGGACAATTTATTTGGCATAACCTATATGGATGAATAGGTTTAGATACAGAATTTTTATATCCTTTATGCTTTGGTAACTGAGTTTATCCTGTATGGTTGGATAATTTATTTGACATATCCTGTATGTTTGGATATGCTTGTATAGAGAATGTATGTATATATAATTATATATCAAGGATTAATCCTGTATGGTTGGACAATTATTTGACATATCCTGTAGGGTTGGTTATGTTAATATTTATTTAATATTTATTGATCATGAATGGTTGGATAAAGAAGTTGTTCAGTATGGTTGAACACTTTATTTGATATATGTAGTATGATTATAAATCTGCTTACAAATATCTTTATCGTGTATTGTAAGATAACCAGATTTGTCCTGTATGGTTTGACACTCTGCTTGACATGTCCTGCTTGGTTGGACATGCTTATGTTCTACATACCCTCAGGTGTATGTTTGCCTTATTTGGATAACCAGGTTTGTCTTGTGGTAGTTAGATAATTTGTTTGACATATCCCTTATGGGATATGCTAATAACTATATCTTATAGGTTGGGATAGCCTAGTTTTGTCATGTATGTTTAGGCAATTCATTTGACATATCCTGTATGGTTTGATATACATAGCTAGCTTAGCCCTGTCAAGTTAGGCAGATATATTGCTTGTGTACGAGTACAATAATTTGCAGACCTATATATATATATATACACAATGATAATAACTATATTGAATGAATCGAGAGCTTGTAGCATATATTTTGGTTAAAGCTTCTAATCATTAACCAACATTGCATTTTCAATTGTAAATTTCATTACGGTGGACTTGTTTATGATTTAACACAAAGAAAGTGGCACGGTTTATTAAAAAAAAAAACAAAAAAAAAAAACAAACAAACAAACAAACAAACAAACAAAAACCTGGGACTAAAACTGGTACCATTTAATATTTCTTCTTCGGGGATCAATTTTTATTTTAGCACTGATTCCATAAATGCTTTAACAA